TTTAACTCGGGGATTCTCAGGAAGCCAAGCGCGCATGTATCATCGGTGCTACGACTTGCGCAGTTTTCCAAGGGGACGGTTGAATGGGAAGTTTGCGATTGAATCACACCGAGGGTATCTACTGGTAGGGATTGTTGAAGGGAAGATGGGCCCGTTCGATAGTTATCAATGGTTGCCTCTAGAGGTTTGGATGGTGAAGTTCTTGTGAGCTTCCTTTGTAGCTGAGTGCGGTCAGCTTTGATTTTTTGGTCCGGGATAGTTGTGTGAAGGACAGAAGGGCCGGGGACGTCAACAGGCGCGTTGTATCTTTTTATCTCTGAAATGCATCAGCATTGTGCAACGCAAGGAGCGGTTCAACTTTCGCAGCCTTCGAGCTGTACAGACTGCGTTATGCATGTTACATTCTGTCAGGATGGCGGCTTTTGTGCGTTCCAACGGGATGAGATCGGAGCGTTATATATTAAAACCTGTTTGCGGCATTGCATACGCCAACTCATCTCGGAGGCGAGTGTGTCAATAAGGACTGGCGCTTTTGCAAGATCCGATGGATCATACATTGCATCAGGAGTTAGAAGGCAGGCAAGGGGTTGCATGCTACGGTAGGATATTAGTTCACTCTATCTTATTCACACCAGCAATGAGGTTTGCCAGGTCGTTGTAGAGCTGAGATACTTTCGGTATAGAGTAGAGAAGACAGCTACCAAGTGGGGCAGGAAGGGAAATGTCGGCCAGTACAACTGAGCGGTCTGAATTTAACTTATGCATTCTAAGGACAGGTCTTGTGAGTTGTTGGGGTTGTGTGCTGAGCTCTTTGCCTACAAGGCGCTCCTTTGGACGCGATGAGGGGAAGGATGATGGAGATTCAGGACCTAAAAGCCGCTTAGAAGAAAATGGGAGTGGAGCTTCGCCCAATTTGTTTTAAGTAAGAGTGAGCCTCGCTGGAATGGTGCTGGTAAGCTTATAACCCGGGAGAGCCTAATCAAACCGAGGGATAGTTGCGTGCGATTAAAAGTGAGGTGCCTTAAGAATGTAGCTAAAAGCTATGCCAGAAGTTGTTAAAACGCTACGGTCGGGCTGGGGTTCAAAACATATTTTTACGACAACATTAAATTAATCTCAGATTCGATTTCGTGCTTCATTTCATAAACTAGTTGTTACGTGAAAACCGACGTTGACTTGTGATTTTGAAAGTTCATTTATTTAAATCGCTATTTGTGATAATAATTAAACTTGCAACTGGATTAAACAACTCAACCTCAAAAATCTCATAGTTTTGGATAAATAAGCTAAAGTTCGCTTCTTGTGAACGGCAGTCATATACATTTATCTGCACAAAAAATGTGGGAACGTTCGACGTCAAGTGTAGATTGGGACGGGATTACATTCGGTGCTGTTCGTAGATTTGCACACGAGAAGGGATCTGACTGCTTGAGGGTGTGGTTGAAAGCATTTAAAGTTGATGGAGTTGTCCCACCTCCATACAGAAAACAAACAAGCAGCTCTCGCTGCGGTGTTATTTGTTATCTCCATACAGCAAACAAGCAGCTCTCGCTGCGGTGTTATTTGTTATTTAATTGGTATTCTACGAAGGAGACTGCTGGATGTGCCAGGTAGGTAGCGGACCAGGTTCCCAACTTCAGTTTGCGATAGGATGGAAAAACTTTCTGTCAATTTAGGGAGACGCGAGCGTTGTTGGTTTATGCAAAGGATGAGGTGCCCAGGCTTCCGCTGGGCATGAACTCAGCCGACCCCAAATTAATGATCAAGCCAATTGTGGTCATAACCCATTGTACTCCCGAAAGCAGGCCGACGAAACCAGCTGCTTCTCCGGACAGCAGTTTCTACTCAACTACCACGGGCCTCTCGCCCACCAAAGGGAGTGATGCCTGGACGAGGCAAAACTCACATGCAAGCAGCACCCAAATTACGTGGAGTTATCAACGCTTATCTCCGTAACAGACAACCCAGCTGCAGCCATGCACTCCTCAACAAAGCCACAGCCTCTGAACTGTACTGAGTCAAATCTGCGAGGACAAGTAGCGAAGCATATCTTCAGCGCCACTCCGTCAAAAGCGGCCTTTCTGCTTGTGGACACAACTGTCGTCCAGGACCCCGACAACCTAAGCTATAAACATGACTACAGCATCCAGTTGGCCACGCTGATCGCCGGTGGATTGGGTGTTCGCACAAACACGAAAGAAGAGCGACTGCAGCCAGAAAAGCCACATAAAATTCGCCAGATTAGAAAACTGCTGGCTGGCATTAAGGTGCACTCCTCCGCGAAAGCGAGCCTCCTGGGAGCGTTACCAAAATCGCTACTTCTTGGTGTCACCACCCAGCGCTCAGGGCCCCACGGAGACACTTTTCCGGCCAAACCGTGCCAAAACACCCAAGAATCCAGGAAGGAGAAGGCTTGCCGCCAATCCGTGATCAACAGCAAACCTGGTCACCAAAATGGGGGTGCTGAAAGAGATACAAACAGCAACGATCGAAACTTTCGCCCACGGGGAAAAAGACTTCGTCCCCTAAAGCCAAAGGGCTTGAGCAAACCGGGCTCCCACGGAACGAAAAAACATCGCAAGCGAAAACACCCCCAGAAGCCACGGAGACAGGAAGCAGACGAAATCGCCCCAGAGACACCTTCGGAGCCTCGCACAACTATTAAGTCTGCTAACTACCCTGGTCACTCGACTTTTGGCTCCACACCCTCGGAGGCAGCAGGAACAGTGTTGAAATGCTTGTCCAAAAACTGCTTCAGCCTTTCCAAAAAACTTGGCGATGTTAAACGGTCAGCTTACCTTGCACAACCGTCCATAATAGCACCCACAGAGACTTTGCTCACACCAGATGTCTCTGACGCGGAGATCTCGGTGGACGGTTACTCTATTTTTCGAGCAGTTTCAAAACAAGGGCGGGCTAATGAGGTTGCTCTTTACTTATATGCGGCCCTACCAATACCGATTGTCCTCTCTGACACCAACCATGTTGCGATGCACGAGCTGTCCAACTCCCGATGCGCGGGTCCGATTCTCTCCTTCTCGGTGTGGTCTACCGTAGCCCCTCGAGTCCTTCGAAAGATGACCAATTCCTCATACAAACCCTTGAGCAACTACCTTCCAACTACCACTTCACTCATCTCCTGCTGGTAGGTGACTCCAACGCCTCAAAGGCCTCCTGGATGGAATTCCAGCGCGTCAAATCAGGCGGACATTTTGCAGCGGCGCTGATTAAAGCCGTTCAACAGAGCGCTTGGACCCAACATGTCGCTGCACCCACCAGATACCGCGCAGGCCAACTACCATCCCCGCTGGATTTGGTCATCACCAACGAAAGACACTCCGTTGATCAGGTAACAGGTAACGTTCCACTGGGACATAGCGACCACCGTGTGCTGACCTTTGATTTTATCTGCTATTGGGCCAGAAATTCCGAACCCCAAACGTGGTTTCGAGACTTCTGCCGTGCAGACTTCTCAGGAATGCGCATCTTTCTTGAACAAGTCACACTGGTACCAGTTCCAGTGGAAGAACTATATAGGACCATTTCCCAAAAAGTTCACGAGGCTGACGCAACGTTCGTCCCAAAAAACCGGCACGCACTCGGATGAACCGAAGGCTGCCAAAAAGGCTTCGGCGACTTCTGGAAAAAAGATCCCAACTCTTTCTAAAAGAGTTGACTACAGGGGATACAGAAGATGAGCTGGCATTTCGTAAAATGCGAAACCGCTGTAAATAAAAAATCCGCAAACGAAACATACGGCAACAAGCCACCATTCTGGACCGCGCTCGAAAAAATAAATAAGTCTTGTTCAAATACATGAGACATCGCTGCAGAAACAAGCCATCCGCGTTCTCCTTGAGGGACAGAGACGGAGAACCGACGAATGACCCAACGGTGGTATCTGAGGGTTACAGAGAACACTATGCCTGTCTATACTCAGCCCCAGCGTCTTCGTCACATCCATTCTTGTCAAGGCGGAACTACGAACAGCCTCTAACCGACTTGGTCTTCATGGTGGGGGACATTCGACAACTCTTGCACCAGATCAACCCATTCTGAGCGTTGGGGTCCGACGAGGTCCATCCAAGGATCCTGAAAGGAACGTCCTCCACACTGGCAAATCATCTACGCCTGGTGTTTCGTCAGTCGCTTGACGAAGGCCACCTTCCCTCTGCCTGGAAGGAAGCGATTGTCACGCCAATCTACGAAACTGGTTACCGACTGTCGCCTGGCAGCTACAGGCCTATAAGCCTCACTAGCGCGCCGTGCAAGGTGATAAAACGCGTTCTGAAGCGAGCTATCCTAGATCACCTTACTTCCAGCGACCTGATATCTCCAGCTCAACACGGATTTCTCCCACACCGCTCTTGCGTGACACAAGCCAAGAACGAAGGACTCATATCGGATGCCATATTTTTCGACTTCTCAAAAGCATTTGATAGGTTCCCACACGTCCCGCCGCTCCGCAAACTCGAGTCTTACGGGATTCAAGGAAAAATGCTTCGCTGGATCAAGCCGTTCCTATCACACAGATCATTCCAAGTGAGAATAGGCCCGGCCTACTCTTCTGCAGCGCCGGTCTCCATTGGAGTTCCTCAAGTCTCTGTCCTGGGACCAGTGCTGTTTCTGGTCCACGTCAAGGACCTCCCAGATGTTCTTGCAAGTCCATGTCTACTTTTTGCGGACGACTTGAAATCCTGGAGTTCCGATGCCAGTGCTCTCCAAATGGATGTAGACGCCGCCCAGCAGTGGTCGTTCGACCAGCACATTCCTCTGAATGACGAAAAGTGCGTCGATATGTTGTTTGGGGGAGACTCAGCGAATGCCTTTGTTGTGCATGGTGAGAAAGGATCAGAAAACATCATGAGGATAGATGCCAAAGAGGATTCGGGCATCTGGGTATCCTCAAACTTGTCCTTCTCACTGCATCGTAGAAATCGGCCCGGAAGGCATTCGGCACTTTACGGATGATCCGACGCACCTTCTCCCGTATTACTCGCATGGATACTCAAATACTCTATGTGGCCTACGTCAGACCGCTCCTGGAATACGCCAAACAAGTTGTCTACTCAGGACGCACGAAAGACGTCCCCCTCATTGAGCTTGCCCAGCGAGCCGTCACGAGAATGGTTGCCGGCCTCAAATCCATGGACTACGAAACGCGTCTCGCGATGCTTGATCTCTTTCACCTGGAGTACCGTCGCCTCCGAAAGGACCTAATTCTTACTCATGCCCTGTTTGAACAAAGCTTGGCAAACAGGTTTTTTACCGTTGACGCAGCAAACACGCGGCGGGACATAGTAAGAAAATTTTCAAACTCAGGGCACACACATTCATTAGGCAAAATTTCTTCTCATTTCGGGTAGTAGGTGCGTAGAATGACCTTCCTAGGACGGTTGTTCACGCTCCTTCTAGAACCCAGTTTAAAGCACTATTAGACATTTATGCAAGCACACTGCTCCACGCTGAGAACATAAAGCGCAGTGCTACACCCATTTTCCGCTTGTGCCTCTCAGGTGAACGACAGCCACTGACCGACAAGAACAAAAGCGATCCGGTAAGCGTGGGCAATAGCCTCGATCCTGTGTATCAATCCGTGAATCTGTCCAGCCCATATTACGGGCACTCCCTGGTTCATGTTACTTGAGAGCTGTTCTTGCCGCGTAATGCGCATCATTATCACAAGTTTTCACGTTCGGTTGTCTCTGTGCTAGCCATCTTTTTAACGTAAGCTCCCTTCCAACATCCTCCCTCACCATATAACCTGGATACCCCCACTCAGTGAAACTGATTTTATTGCATACCAAGACCAATATTTGGGGTGATCTTCTTGTTATTCTTTGTTCCGCAATTCTCCAAACAGTTCAGGGAAATAAAACAGACCGCGGAAACATCCAACTATACTGCTACGCCTCTCGGGGTCGCTTTGCTCAAGAATAACCATGTTGCTCTACTGTTTCCTTAAGCTCTCTAAGGAATGCGGTACCCAAAACTCCGTTTTGTCGAACGGACTAAATCGGTCCACGCTAATTTCGAAATCATAACTAGAATCTCATCATAGAATGTTTCCATTTTTGCCTGGTGATTCCAAACGAACGAATCAGATATTGATTTCAACTGTCACACATACACCTCCATCATATGATCGCTGGAAAAACCTGGCCTTCTAGGATGCACTCAATTTTTGACGTTGCTGCGAAATATAGGTAGCTCTAATGCGCTCGCTGCTTGGATGTTGGTCTGTTTTTTGAGCTTGGTATTTGGACTGCAACCCAACCAACAAACTATCTTCACTGCGAGGTTGAATGAATGAAGTGTGAACTTGATGTTGGGAAACTGGACAGCAGACGACCAACTGCAGACGGAAGTATACTCGGAAGAAACCCCCGCGAGCCAGGTTCCAAACTACCTCAGCAGCCATCCAAGCTGCCACGGAGAGGACTGTGTTTCAACCCCATTCAGGCGAATTGAGACACACGGCAAAACAACACGGATGAAGACGAAAGAAGGACAATGATGAACGGGGCGAAGATGAAGAAAACAACATTTCGGTGCACTGAGAGAAAACCTGCCGCAATGATGGGAAAACAGTAGCTTTCCAATGGAAATCGCGACCAATCATCATTGGTTTCATTTCGTGAACGATGAAAACGACACCGGTTCATTTAAAATAATCTCAACTGCATGCTCACGTTGAAAAGAAATGATAGCTGAAGCTCACTGGGAACTGGTACTTCATTGAAAATTTATTCGATGAAAACAACGATATCTTCCAGGTTTTTTTAAAAACATGTTGAAAAGAATGATAGCTGAAGCTCACTGGGAACTGGTACTTCATTGAAAATTTATTCGATGAAAACAACGATATCTTCCAGGTTTTTTTAAAATAAAGAAGTTACACTGTTGCGATGTCCTGTACTGTACAGCAATTCAAGCAACCTGGAGACAAGTGACGGATCAATGGGATCAAAGCAAAAGAGCTACTAACAGCAAAAAGCCATCCAATCAAATGAAAAATTGAAACAAGATCAAAGCAGAAGGCAAGAGGTAAGCCGCAGGAAGAACGGAAACCTAAATTTGAAGGTGCCAAACAGATGCATAGAAATTAGATTACACTCCAACACATGTGTTAAGTTGTGCAACGGTCGAACGGTATCTTCGAGTGACGCGTAATACCAGAACCTCCGGGTAGG